TGCAAGGGACTAGCCGAGAAACGGCGTCAGCAGACACTCACCTGCAACTCGTCGCCTCGACCAGCCGTCGTCCAGGCGCCGCCGTCCGAGACAGCCGCCGCCTGACAACCGGTTTCCGCTTTCCGACGCCACTTGACCGCCGTCTGCCTTGGCCAAGCCAACGTCGTCGCGTCGCCCTGTCCCGCCTCGCCGTTGTCGTCGCCGTCGCCGTCGCCGTCCAAACCGGTCTCCGCCGAAATCGGCGCCGCCTCGGCTGTCTCGTACAATTGCAGCTGATGTCCGGTCGCCATGACGACGGTGGGCAGACGGCGTCGCGCCAGTTGCTGCTTCCGCGACTGGCGACTGGCGGCGGCGGCCGACAGGAAGCCGGGCGGACACCAGACGCCGGCGGTGGCGACTCGTCGCCCGAGAGACAGACGCTTGCCCGACGGACCGTCCGCACCGGCCCGACCGGCCTGCGAGCACGAGGCCTGGCTGTGCAACACCAGAAAGACGAGCACCAGCAGCGCCACTGCGACGAGAAGAAGAGGAGAAAAAGTGTGTCTTCATTCGCACAATTAGTTGCCACCCGAGCCGCCAGCCTCGGACAGGTCGTCGCGGAAACCGAGCCAACTGGTACCGACGACCTGCCGGCGACGGTAGAGCCGCAGAGACGACGTTACGTTAAAATGACGAAATACACGAGACCAACCGGTTTCCGGATTGTCGTCAAGCGAGTTTGCATTCCGACGGGCAAGTTGGTTGAAGCGAATTCGTGAAATGGTGGCTCCGCAAATGGACGATTGCTTGCGTGGATGGTTGGAGGAAGCCGGATTTTGTGGAAAGGTGCATGAAGAAGAGATTCGCTGGCCCATCGCGCCAGAAGAGGACGCATGCTTTGCGTTCTACTGCACGACATGTTCTCTCTTTCGATTCGGATGAAAACAGACTCAGCTTTCTAGAAGTGGGCTGACCTTGTTGTCTAGTCCGAAGTTGTCTGCCATTTTAGTTGTCATGATTCCCAGCATCGGACAGTGGACTTGGTACATTGTCAAAACAATTCGCTGGCATCATCAGTCAGTGCTACCATTCGCCGCACCCAACTACGAACTCGTCAAAGAGACAAGTGAACTCGATCCCTCGACAAAAATGTTCTTCCAAAAACGGTTACAACATCACTCCTCTTTCTGTCATTGTCTATCTATCTACTCTTTACACTCTTATCCCACTGCCGCCACATCACAACTACTCACTTGTTTACATTCCACTCATCACAAAAGAGAGTAAAGAGTAGATAGATAGATAAGGACAGAAAGAGGAATGATAGTGCAACTGTTTTCGGCAGAACGGTTTTCGAGGGATCGAGTTCACTTGTCTCTGACGAGTTTGTAGTTTGTTGCGGAGGATGGCAAAACTGACTGATGATACCGACTAAGATGCCGGCGAAA